AAGTTCCGTTTAATTGGTTAGTCTTGGCCATGTCCTTACTTGTCACGTACCGTCTTCGGTGAGTGCCATCCCATCTGACAAGGCATTATGTCCAAGAAGTTGACCAACAGCCACCGAAAATGGCAAACCCGGAGGTTCCGGGTCAAGCCTTTATCTTGCATACCGTCTATCACAAGTCTAAGGTTGGCGTTGTGCCCTCTAATATCTCTACTGAAGATGAGAGCATCCAGTTAAATTGGGCAGTGCTTGAGAAATAAGATAATTAAGTCGGTTTGCATAAGGTGTTTGAAGTTAGCTGCTGTGTTGGCGAGTCTTATGGGCATTGTGTAAAATTTATAGGTCCTTATTGGCTGATTAAAAGCTTCCTTTTCTCCGTTCTATTTGGCACTTTCTCTTGCCGGTATCCTACTCTAACGTCTAAGGTAGAGAATCACTTTGATCCATGCAGAGAGTCAAGTGATTTGTTTATGTGGAATATTGGGAAGGCGTCCTTCTTCGTTTCTGTGTTTAGCTTTCTCAAGTCTATGCATCACTGCACATCGAGAAAGATTTAGGAGTGGAGAACACACTTTCTTAACTAAACATCGATCCACTACTCTTAATTAGAGTCAAATAGTAAGTGTAATATTTAATTACATAGACAGATGCAGTTACCCATTCCCTAAGGTATATTGGAAAGGAGAGGATTAACAGCAATAAGAGTCTAATTTTGTAAAGACTGAAGAGAACAGTGCAATAGCTTTTGAGCTAAATTCTGATTGTCCAAAAAATTGTATAAATCCTGTAAAACTTGTAGATAGGCATGAAGAAGGGTGCCCACAACCATTCGGAGTGGATGTCATCAGGTGACTTCCTATTAACAACATTTAGGCGAGTTTTATTCCGCAATCGCCCACATCTCTGCCTTCTTTTTATGACGCAGTGTGGCACTCAGCTGTAGCGCAGGCAGCATCTCTTTTGTGGAGGCGCACAATAGTTAAGTCTTTGATCGTTTGTTCCTCACTGTGGGTGTATATTATCAAATTTTTCTCCTAAATATGGCTACCACCCTCTAAATGGCTGCCTCCGTGTACTCTTTTTTGCCTTGGGAGGCTCAAATTCCTGACAACATGGATGAGTGCTCGTCACTGCTGTTATCGAGAACACTACTACTGATGGCCCTGCTACCACTGCTGCCTCCTAGCTGCCTATCGATGGGGTTATCAGTTTGGTGGCGTCATTCGTCCGTATTAAGGAGAGGATTAGTCAAGTCGAGGTGTGTAAAACGTTCCTTAATTTTAACAGAAGTCAGCCCGGCTACTGCTAGTTCTCCAGTAATCCCTGGCACTGTTGTTAATAGTCCACTACCGGATTCATCAAGTTCATGCTAAAGACTGTGATGCACTGGAGTCATTCTTTACCGTGTGCAGTCCCGAGAAGCTGGAGATCACGCCGATCACCTACTAAGTCATTTGAGGCAGTGCAAAAATATCAGTCGGGAGGGAAGAT